TTCATGGCGTATGGACTGGCCCGCAAGGGAAAGGCGACTTCAGCTATCACCTTCAGCCGGATGACCCACCCGAGTCGTCTGACAACCCGGCGCCCACACGCATCGGCTCCTACGCGTCGGACGCAAGGTCGGTCCAGGGCGGCCGGGATCCGAGCACCGAGCGACATTGATGATGGCACGATCGTCATGAGGATCGGACGGGGCAAGAAGCATGGGTGGTCTTGGCTTGGCGATGGCACCCTCGAGTCCGGCTCTGTTCCTCTCCTCTCCCGAGATCCGAGCAAGTACCCAGCGGAGGCCCGCCATACGCCAACGGCCGCCCCTTCACAAAGAAGAATTGGTCGACGCACTCCAGGTTAGTCGGTTTAACTCTTCGTTACATTGATCTTTACATAACTTAGTTACCTTTACATTACTAAAACATTCGATTGAAATGTTGCGGGCCGATAACGAAAGGATGGCTCAGAGAGCGGGACTGGCGGGCGAGGACCGAGGTGGCCGAGCGGGAAAGACAAGCCGAAAGCGGGCGGAAGGGAGAGACGAGCCAAGCGGTGGCGGAGATTACGATGTTCTGCGAGAACTTTGGGCAAGTGAGCGGTGTACTGTGCCGATGTTCGCTCAGTAGCCGCCGCCATGATTGTAGCTAGTCCGGTGAGTATGAATCCATATTGCTTCGACTAGTGCTTTCATTAGATGACCCACTCTAACCGCTGAATATCTTGTCCTTTATGCAGCCTCCGTCGGTGGGTTCGAATGACCCATCTCGGTAAGCAAGCGGTGTTGAGTTTCCTTCACCGTGCACTCGGTTTCCTCCCCACCTTTAGTTTGTATCTCTTTTTCACCGCTTGATGGACATGTGATGCTTTGTGATCCACTATCGACTTGTTTCGATGGTAATTGGACCTATTATGTTTGTGATGTCGTGTATGTGAGGTATTGTATTCATGATGTGATATATATGTGTGGTATTGAGTTTGTGATGAGATGGATGTGATATATATATGCTATATTGTCTTTGTGATGCTTGGATGTGATATATATCTTTTATATGTTTGTGTTTGTGATTATAGAATCAAAAATAAAATAAAAAAATTATTTTTTGAGGCTTTTGGGTGCCACAGCCGGCTTTTCGGCAAAGCTGGGAATTCTCTGAAAAGGAATTCCCAGCTTTCTTGTGCGAGTGCAGTGGCTGTGGCACCCGCAAAAAAAAATTCTTTGCCGGGTGCCCTATGATCGGCACCCGCAAAGAAATTATAAAAAAAATAAAAACTCTTTGCGGGTGCCCATGATGCGACACCGCAAGAAAGAAATTATTAAAAAAAATAAAAATTGTTTGCGGGTGCCTGCCTCAAGACGGCACCCGCAACAAAAAATTTGAAAAAAAAATTAAAAAATCTTTGCGGGTGCCTCGACATGGCACCCGGCAAATCAAGGATGACGGAGCCCGGCGCCGTAACGACCACTTTTCTTTGCCGGGTGCCGGGTTTGCACTCGGCAAAGTCTTTGCCGAGTGCCCGATAAAAAACACCCGGCAAAGAAATCTTTGCCGACTAATTTTTTGCCGGAGGCTCTTTGCCGAGTGCTGCACCGGGCAAAGGCTTTGCCGAGTGCAAAGTAGGCTTTGCCGGGTGCATTCGGCACCCGGCAAAGCGCCTTAATCCAGTAATGTAGGCTCAAAAATCACTTCAATTTGGCAGCACAACAGATGAAAATATGCAAATCACATAGTGCTGCAGGCCTGCTGGGCACATAACCATTTGTTTTGTGCATATCTTTCGCAAGTATTAGCTGTGCTGTGAAATGATAAAATAAAATCCCACATCATCTGAAAACTTCCTAGCAGCTGGCCATTTTTGAGATGATGATCTTTTAAATCTTTGCTCTACAGAACTCACATTATCTTTTACTTCTCTACTATAGGCAAACCATATTATCAGATCAAGCAAGCAAAATTGTGGGATTAAAATTTCTCTAACTTTGATGTAGTTTAATGGAAATATATTAACATATAAAATACCAAACAAATGCACTATTACGATATATTTCGTGGTGGGTTTGATGAAACTAATTGATATTGTATATGGACCTATTATTTTTATAAATCTTGTCAAAGTTAGGGAAATTTAACAAATGACAAAACCAAAAGAACTTGCATTTCAGAATAGAGCTATTAATTTTTTGTAAACAGTTGTAATACCTACCGTTCCTAAAATAGTTCTATAGATGGACAACCCTTAAAATTCAAATTTTAGGGGTGGTTCGTACAGAAAAAATCATACTTTTTTCATTTGAATTTGGATGGAGACAAATTTTATATCAACATTGTATATCTAGACCAGTTTAAACATAGTAGTTGATAGTTTTCAATTTGGGATTGTTTAATGGCCCAAATGTACATTTTAAATTCAAATTTACCTGTTCAAAGGACCTCGGATGGCGGCATGCACTACGAAAATTATACTAGACAAGATCTAAAACTTTATAGTTTAAACCCTTTTATTTAAGATAATTTGGAGGCCTAAATAAAGATTTGCAAATTGAATACAAACGGATAGCATCCTATATGTAGAAATTGATTTTCAGGGACGGTCCATTGCACAAACTATTTTTAGGGCTGACCGGAATGACAATCATTTTTTAAGAAAATTATGGTGCCTCTATAAATAATCTCTATAGTAGTATTGAGAAAGATTCATGTTTTTTCAATGTCCTAAGAACGATTGCCATAAAACTTTGTAGTTTGATACAATTTTTTAAGCAACATATTTTGTCCTAGATGATTGATAGAAAAAAAAACAACCACAGCTGCTATATCAACTAAAGGACATGTCAGCTTACCTATGGATTGTTGAACACATAGTGCAAGAGGTACTCATCATTTATGTTTTCAAGGTCACATGTATAATTCATGATTTAGCACACAACGCACACTAATTACAAGAACTGTTATATATATATTATTGCAGAACTAAGGAAAAGGCTCGAGACATTCTATTCATCATTACATAAAGACTCGAAGCTTTGTTTGCTCAACCTATGCTTACATGAAAATTGAAGGGAGTGAATATTGAGAAGTTTTGACATATAGAAGGCAATTTTCTGTTCATTGATACACCCTTCCTTCTTCCAGAAAGCTTCATTGATGTTCCAAACTATCGATGTTGAAGGAAGCTGAATAAACTGCGGAAACCACATTTCACTTCAATAAGAATGGCACATGAAACTTTGCATAATGGTCTGTAAAACACATCTTCATAGAATTTTGCTGTATGCTAGTCCCTTATTTTTAAAGTAGTATCTTTGAAAGAAGAAATCTAGATGAAATGCACTTCATCAATGCTGTTGTAATTGAAATTTACAAGCCTATACATGCATATGAAAGTTGCATCAATTTCATAATGCACGTTGACAGAGCTGCTTATGGTTTCAATTCCAACAGCAAGATTGGTTATATAAAGTGGAGACTGGGTCAAGTAGAAAAGAGTCACCTCATTTGTGTGTATTTTTGGATCACCTCATTTGTGTTTAATCAGTCAACACATAAAAAATTGATTTTAGGAGACTTCTATTTTTATTTACAGATAGAGTCATGGACATCCCCTGAAAATCTATTTTTAGAGGGGCCATGTAAAACAACAGGCTGTGTAAATGTAGGCCCAAGGCCCATATATTGGCCTCTCCAGACCAGCCACTCCCTCAGACGCTACCTCTGCAAAATATCTCTTGATTATAATCCTCTGCACCACATAATAACTGATGATAATTCTTTTGCACATCTCTTACATGGAGTCTGATGTATGCCTGCTTCATACCTTGCTTGGCAGTGTTTCCAAAAGGATGCTACCTGGTAGAGCAAAGAAGATACCAAAACTCATCCCCTACCGTGGCTTCCTAAAACCTTAACCATGAATCATACATTAGGAATTTACTAGGACCATTATTCTATATACGCATACTTATCGCTATGAGCGCACGCGCACACCCTATTCTATGAGCTCCTTGAAAAGATTGGGTTGGACTCATAGATCTCGAGATTTACGAAATCACAACAGGCACCTCATTGATTATATATGGACACATCGCCTACCCCTAAAAATGGCACCGTTAAATTATGGATTAAGCTACGCTCATTTTGATTAGTAGCACGTGTATCTTATTAACCTACTAGTACATATTACTATATATCAGTAAGCTATGAAGTTCTAGGCCGGCCATGTTTTGGTCAATCGGAATGTCCATCCATGATGATGAGGCTCCTCTTTCATATTCATCAGCATGTCCTAAAGTTTATGTCAAAGTTCCACTGGCTCATGGATCTGTGCCATGGCCCAACCGTTCTGGCCTCACCCTCGGTGTCCCCTACCAGATCCAGCGTGCATGAGAGGAGCCTACTAGAAGCACTGGCTGGGGGGTGGAGAGGGTGACGAGAAGGGGACCTGGAGCTCGGACGCCGAAGACCACAACCATACTGAAACTGCTCACCTTAATCCTGCTATGCGAGGACCCATCGCCGGCGTCACACAAGATCCTCATCGTCTCCACCGTTAGTAGGTTGGTGGCATCGTGAATGGCGAGCGGGGACGCCGTGGAGGCCAGCGAGCTCCGCCCTGGACTGTGTCTACGCAGTGCCAATCTCGCACGGCGAGAGCTCGAGCAACGACGGCGCTAAAGGAGATGCATGAGGCGAGCAGCCAGGGGCTGTTGCGTGGAGAAGACAGAAGATAATGAAACGGGAGCTAGTCTGCTTTTAATTTATCCCTTGCTTTGCTTGGTCCTGTTTTCATAGGATGCTGCGAGGGAGAGCAAAGAAGATACCAAACCGTTGCCCCCCCCCCTTCCCCCCCCTTCTACATTCCATGCCCTTTGCGCTTCGTTCCCCTAGGCTGATGAGGTGAGGCTCCTTCTATATATATCTATTTAACTCGTAGTATATCTACATATCGTTATATCAGCGAGCTAGCAAGTGCCGGCGGGGCGCTTCTTCTTTGGGTCCAACCGGAATGTCCGACAACGATGTTGAGCAACCTCCTGGAAATTCGTCAGCAGGTCCTACAATTTCGCTCAATTAATTCTTATATGAGTAAAAAAAAATGTGGAAAACCAGTTCGTCATTCATATTGATCCCTAGTAGCTAAGAAATGCATATATATGCAAGACAAGGTTCGGATGAACCCGTACGTATCGTTGGCCGGTATCGATCGACAATCGTCTGTCTAATGCATGCAGGGGCAGCTGCAGGGCCGCCAAGGCTGGGCAACGCCGAAAGAGTGCGGCTGGTGGCTCATTGCAACGACAAAGCGCCACTGGAGGAGAACAGGCAGCAGGTGCTGCTGGAGCTCACCGACACATCTTCCACTGCCGAACGATCCGGGCTGGACCTCGTGGCTGTCCTGGACGTCAGTGGAAGCATGGGGGCTGGAAGCTGGAGAAGCTGAAGACGGCCATGAAGTTTGTCATCAGCAAGCTCAGCCCCATAGACCGCCTCTCCATCGTCTCCTTCTCCACCGAGGCCAAGAGGCTGTTCCACCTGCGCTCCATGACGGAGGCCACCAAGGCAGAGCTGACGGACATGGTCGAAAATCGTCTGAATGCCAGCGGATCCACCAACATGGAGGCCGGCCTCGAGACCGGCCTCAAGGTGCTCGGCGGCCGCCAGCACAAAGGGGCCGCCGCGTGGCCGCCATCGTTCTCATGTCCGATGGCCAGCAGGGCCCTGGCGATGCTACTGTTGTCCCAATTGACGACGATGTGGGGGCTGTCTACACGTTCGGTTTTGGTGCAGACCAGGACTCCAAGGTACATGCACGCATGCATATATATCCGTCTCCATGCATCCACACTATTTAAGTTTATTGACGTGCACGACTGCGACTGCGTAGTGCCTATTCTAACGCGTGTTGCGGCCGCTCAGGTGCTGGAGGCGATTGCGAGAAACAGCCATGGAGGAACGTTCTATGACGTCGGGGACGGGGAGAGCCTTGCCGTTCATTTTTCGCAGATCATGGCCGGCCTCCTCAGCGTCGTGGTCCAGGACCTCCAGCTCACCGTGTGGGAAACCACAGGCCACTCCAGGATAGACGACAACAGGGTGGACGCCGGGTGCTACCCCAAGGACACCGACAACCGTGCCCGCTCGGTCACAGTAACATTCGGCTATCTCTACAGCGGGAAGTGCGCAAGGTTATGGTTGACCTCCTTCTCCCTGCAGTCCAACGAGAGTACAGCGCGCCCGCCATCATCGCTCAATGCTCCTACAGGTAGCACATACTATCTTACTATCTTTCTATCACTAGGTAGAGGCCCCAACGGACGCAACACGTTAATATTCATTAGATACGCTAGAATTTTTTTTTAGAAATTTTCATAACATAATCAGAAACATCCAGTCTCGCTCGTAGTGGCCATTGAATCTATTGTAATTTATAGAAAAAATTACCCATCACTATCATTATAAAAATTAAAAAAAAATCCCTAATTTTACATCTAAATTAACTGCCTATGCTATTACGCAAGATAATTCAAAATAACCCCTAAATTTCTATACAAATTATACATATATATCATTATGAAAGATAATTCAAATTAATCCCACATCATTGTATCTAAATTACTTAATTTTGCCATTATGAAAGATAATTTAAAATAACCCTCTAACTTTACATCTAAATTACCCAATCTACCATTATGAATGATAATTTGAAAGACCTCCTAATTGTTTTACAAATTATCCATCTTTATCATTATAAAGGATAATGCAAAGTAACCTCTTAAATTTGGATTCAACCTATCCATGTATGTCATTATAAAAGATAGTATGAAGTAGTACCTCGATATTTGTATCTACTTGGCCGTTATAAACATAAACAAAGATATCTCTCAAATCTACATGTAAATAGTAATATATATATATATATATATATGTGAAATTATAGACTTCTGCAAATATGAAATTAAATAACCATAATGCTATGTTTCAGCATGCATACCAAGTGAACTTGTATATATTAAGATAAATATTTATTTTAATAGCTTATTAAGCATGAAAAATGTTCCTTTAACAAACCACATAGCAATAACACTCACAATTGACATTAATTTGTATTAATACTCCATGAAGTATAACCTATTCACCATTGATAATGATAGCTATTGGATCTATTCTATTTTTTAAATAATTACCCTCCTCTTCTATTGCGTAAAACAACATAAAGTAACCAATGACTCTATGTTTAAATTACTTACCTATGTCATTAAGAAATATGATCTAAAGTAGACCTAAATTTGCATCTAGTTACCCATATTCTCCTATTACGATTCATAGATAGTTTACGTAATCTAGTCTTCATCTCATTGTTAGAAAAATTAAATATCCCCTTAAATCTACATCTAAATTGTCAATTATTGTTTAGATAACAATAATAGAGTATATATACCCACTTCTACCAATAACCAATATTAATATATTAAGATTTGATTAAAGTAAGCATACACGTCATGTCACCAGGCACAAGTGATAAATATATATGTTATGTTTCATCATATAAAAAATATTTCCTTCAAAACTCATAACTAATGATACAAATTATTTAAAACCATATTAATAACTATGACATACAATTTATATAGGTTGTTACTTTTGATATATTTATATATTTTAACTAAAATGTTTGACACGTCAAATTGATAATATAACTATAATTACACATATAATTTCTTGATATGAAAATTCAATCGTCTTACGAATCATGGGAGACCACTGGTGGCTCTATAATTTTCCAGCCCTCTAAGATTACTTTAGAGTAAAAAAATGATTATTACAACGCCTCAGTATTAAAATTCTAATGAGATTAGCACTGCTACTCCCATCTGAGATCTCGCTTCAAGATCTATCACTTATGTTAAGTGACACGGTGCAAGTTCGAAAAGATTTCTTATGATACTGTAGTATTTAAGAATGTACTATATGACCTAAAATTTTTTCTTAAAAAGTGCAAACATAGAGTTAATAAAAGATACAATAAGCACAAGAGTTTTAACTTAACTTGAGGATAAAAATAATCTGTAGCAGTCCATAAAAATAAAATTTGAAAAATCAAAATTCAGATTCATGATTTCATAAGATATATAATGCAACAAGAGCCACAATAGTTGATGGTAAGGTATCAGCTAATTGCATATTTAAAATACACAAAGGTACCTTGCAAAGAAAAAATGTGAATATAAATGAAAAAAGTATAGATGAGCCCTTGAAAACAAAATATTAAGAAACTTATGATAACTGGATATAGACTACTTAGTATCTATTATGTTAGAAAATGAACAAATGAACAAAGAGAAAAAGCATACGATTTAATATAAATAATTCTTGATTAGTCTTATGTATTAAGTATTAAGTTAAGTAACACTTATATCTTTTAAAATTCTAGCCCGTGCCAGAGCACTGGTTGATGGGATAGTACTCTAGTAATAGTAATAGTAGTTCCGACTCCTAGTAATTTAAAGTGAATTGAACTTGTATTTGAATTTAATTTGTTCGATATTTCCGATACATGTACCCTGTTTGTCCGGATTATCTGTGACCTCTATAAATTTTGTTTATGATATGATGAATAACGTAAACCCCGTGCCTCCAGTACGCAAGGAAGAGTCTACTACTCCCCTCGCGATGGCCTGAGATGCTTTATACGCCGCACCGGATCTGCCAGCCCGGACGCCAAGAAACTGGAGGTGAAGGCCGAGCTGGTCCGTCGCCGCCATGCAAAGATATTGGAGGAGGCAAGTGGGATGAACAAGGACCTGCACGGCGCTCGCCGCAAGTTGCTGGAGGCTCAGGTGGCACTGGACGCTGAGCCGTCGTCGCACCCTTTGTTCGCCTTCCTCAAGGTCGAGCTGGAGAAGCTCCTCACGCTGACAACGTGTGGAAGGAGCTCCTCGCCTGCCTGCTGGCGTCCGTGAGGTCGCACCTTACCCAGCGCTACGCGGGGAGGCACGACGTCAGCGTCCGAATATTCGCCACGGAGCGCATGGACAGGTACATGGAGCAGGCAAGCAAGTTTGAGGAGGACCCCGACAAGCCGCCGCCATCGGTGGACGACGACGTCCAGGCGGAGGCAGAGATGGTCAAGAGGACATGGGTGCCGCAACGGTCACCGGAGCAACGGGGGACCTCGAGGATATGGGCGGGGTCGCGTGAGCGCAGCAGCTCCGGGTGGGCGTGGGCGACGGTCCTCGCGTGCACGGCGCTGGCCGTCGGAGTCATCCTGGCCGGCGTCGCGGTGTTCGCCGTGTACCTCCTCTACAGGCCCAGCATGCCGTACCTGGCGGTCTCCGACGCGCACCTGGAGCGGCTGGAGTACGGCCAGGACGGCGCCATAGACTACCTTCAGGCGTCCATCACCGTTATGGCCGTGAACAACAACTCCAAGACCGACGCCTCCTTCTCCAGCATGGACCTCGTCCTGGGGTTCCACGGCGCCGACGTGGCGCTCCTGCGGGCGCAGCCGTTCGTGGTGCCGCGAGAGAGCTCGCTGCCGCTGCCGTACCGTGTCGTGTCGGCGGGGCGGGCGCTGGATGCTGCCGGGATGCAGGCAATGGACGAGGCGCTCAAGGCCGGCGTGGTGCCGTTCGACCTGTTCGGCAAGGCGCGCACGCGGTGGAAGGTGGAGTCTTTGCCAACCTCCGGTTTTGATGCGCATCTCCTGCCGCCTCCGCTTCTTCTTCCCCGGTAACGGCACTGTCATGCCAACCGATCGGGACAAATGCCGCTCAAGGTAGCCATAACTGTTCAGTAGTGTCGTTGTTCCATATATCAACCCTTGCATGGTCTTGTATGGGTTTAGTATAATATAATTTTAGGTGGTATAATTCATTGAAATATGTAATTCAAGGATAAATTCATGTTGCATGGAACAAATTGCTTATATATTCAATGCCATCATTTCTCTATTGAGCATCCATAGCCTGATAGCCACAGTGGTGAAAGCTTATTGAGATCCTCAACTTTAGGAAACAAGAGGGAAGCATTTTTTTTTTTTTTTTTGCTACTACAGTCGATCCGTGCTCTAAACTAAACTAGGCAGGTCCAAATCATTTACTCATGAGCTTGCCACGCTACTACAGAACAGACAATCACCATCGGACCATCACTGCTAGTTATGCTGGAGCCAAACAGTGATTACACTTCGCTGCTAGGTTGTGAGGCTAAGATTCGGTTAATAATTGGGTTTAAACTGGTAGTGAAGGCAGATATCACTACCGGTTGAAGCAATATGGTCTTGAAGACGTGGAGACAACTCTTCGACATGGTCTTCCATTCATTGAACATTGTAAACAATTCCCTAATTTTGGAAGGAAATAGGTAATAATATCTTAATACCTACAAGTTCATCTGATGGGAGATAATTACATATTCCACATGACAACCATGTCAAGCCTTACATAGCGAGGCAAGCTTATGAATCACTATCTTTTCATAACAAGACAAGTGGATCCTATTGCTGCTTATTTATGTGGATGACGACTTCTGGACATGGTTAATTATTTGCATTTCAGCTGCCTATCATAACCATGCGACTGACATTGTTTTTTGTCGTTTAGTAACTCACAATTTTGGACTTAAGAAGATAGAAAAATTCGTCCGCATACACAGCAAATACAGAAACTTTGACAAAGAAAACTAGGAAGCTATCTGCCATGTAAAGAGTCGTTGTGATATCATTAACACGAGATGGCAGATCAGTGACTATTGAGGTCTCGTCCTCTGTCACCCTTATGTAGAAATATGCTGGGTGCTTAGGTTCTGGCAAGGTCATGCTTTCACTGCTTAGCATAGCAACCACATCTGACATGTTGGGTCGATCAGCTGCATTCTCTTGCACACACAGGCAGCAAGGCGACGTTAATATCCCTAATGTATGACACTCGACAGTTAATGATGTATCCACAATTTGAAGCCATTTTTCATCTTTCCACAACTGCCATGCCTGAATGGAGAATGGAGAATGTCGCATACTTAACAAATAAAGTTATGTGCATATAAAAAAAATACAGCTAGTGCTTTTGCACTCTCGTGAAAATAGTGAAAATACAGAAATCATGGAACAGTATATATGCTGGTGTAGTGAGTGGATGCCATTAACACATCTGTGTGGTTAAAAAGTTGTACCACTTTTGTTGAGCGACTAGAGAGAGAGAGAGAGAGAGAGAGAGAGAGAGAGAGAGAGATTACTTTTACACGTAGTATAATTAACTGGACATAGAAGACTCACATGTCCAAGAAGGTTGATGAAATCTCCATATCTATGAAGGCCTGATGATCTTTTTCCACTGACTATCTCAAGTGTTAGCACACCGAAGCTGAATACATCGGATTTCATTGAGAAGAGGCCCTCTGGTGCATACTCAGGAGACATATAACCACTGAAAAGATGGATGTAACAAACTTTGCTGAAATGTTCTGTAACAAAATAGCTTTCTAATATAATTCGAGTGAACAATTCGTAAGACATCTTACTATGTCCCAACGATTCTTTCCGTGTTTACTTCAGTATCATTTGTGCTAAAGATTTTTGCAAGCCTGGCCAAAATCTGAAATTTTAGGATTCATTTCATGGGCCAAGAGAATATCATTTGCTTTAAGATCTCTATGGATGGCACGTAACCGAGAGTGCCTATGCAAATACAGAAGTCCTTGTGCTATCCCATTTATTATTGCTAGGCGTCTGATCCAATACAGTAAAGCACTTCTTGTATCATTTGCAAATTAATAAAGAATAGATGTATCAGAAAAGAAGACTTAGCACTCAGAATTTATGTTATGGTTTTTTTTGGACTATTTCTCGATTTGTGCGTGCCATCCTTGCGTAGGGGCCATGCTAATCTTCTTTGTATTGTTCCAATTTTGTACCAAAAATATCTTCTCTTCATATTGAGAACAGCATCCCAGAAGCCTAGCTAGATTAGTGTGCTGGAGCTTGGCTATGAGTTGTACTTCATTTTTAAACTGGTTGAAACCTTGGCCTGAATGTGAAGCAAGTCTCTTTACTGCTATGTCTGATCCATCAGGAAACCAACCCTACAGAGAAGTTCAATCTTTTGCATCAGCGAGAAAAAGCACAATTTCATCAGATTGTAGACTATATATATTTATCATTATGGTTCCATGTTTCTGTCAAATTATGTGCACTCATAATGGTATGGCTACACAGTTACCTTGTATACATGACCAAAGCCACCTTGCCCGAGTTTGTTTTCTTCTGAGAAGTTATCTGTAGCCTCTAATACATGTAAAAAGTCATAAGTTGTGAATTATAAACTCCTTCCTTCTAGCGCCCAAACTATGGCTTCATCTTCCTTCACATTCATCTTATCCTTATCCTGAGACCCTTTACCAAAATTGAATGTTTCATGTGAGCCTTCCATTTAAAACCGATGCACATAGTAGTAGAACAAAATAAAATAGCAAATTTAGATAGTCTCTCTATGTAGATAGCAAACGTTTTATGCGCCTTCGTCTCATGAATATGTATGAAATGGTCAAGCCAATAAACGATGCAAGCAGTGGAACAACAACCTTGACCGTGTGCTCTTACAAGAAACAAGACAATCATTTTGAAAGTACACAAATGGTTCAATGATTAGAATGTTTGATCCATGCATATATTCAGTAAAACTACAGAATATTTCTGATGTCTCAGTTCCACTGCGGATTAGAAATATGCAAAGCTTTCAAACATGAGTAGGGGTGGGGAGCCGGTTTAATCGAACTGATCGATTAGGTTATCCACATGATACTGAATAAAATCACTGCTATCCTAATAGTATAGTACTGTATGGTGATCAGAGTATCCTATGATCTATAAATTTTAATGGTTGCCTGACATCAATACCTCACTGGATTTGGAAGAAGGAGAAACCAATGCTTTGAAGTTCAATTGTATTTAAAGTTTTGACAACTCAAAATTCGGTCTACAAAATTATAAAGTTTTCTAGTTGAAGCCAACATTGTTTATTAGAGTTAACATCAAGTCCCCAACACAAATTCAGATCAATCTCAACAACAGAAATATGAAAGTCACTAATGTTGGAAGCTTTATGGATCAAGATGATATCTTTGATTACTAGCCATCTTGTTTAGAGTGAAAGTGTCATTTGCCATGTTTCCATGTTGATAGTAATATAAAGTGAAAACAATTCATGATCTCTAATAAGCATGTAAGATCAACGACCCTAGCACGTGCATGGTGTTATTGTGATCAATGTCATCGACAAAGTTTACAGGACGTCTATAATTTTCTCTAGTCTGCAATGGTTTAGGTCCTGTTTCGTAGAGCTCCGGGTGGCTCCGGCTCCTCCATACACTGTAGCAAGGAATAATTGGGGTGATTAGTCAGTGCCTAGTCAGTTAGTCAGACATTTAGCCATTCATGTGGTAAAAAAATGGACAGACAGCTATGTATATAGTAGATATATGCAAACATGACCATAAACTAGCAAATAGAAGAGGCAAAAGACAGCAAGCAGTCAGACACAGTTCAAGATGTAATCCTATATGCAACGAATCAATGATCATGGTGGTTTTTGACCTACTAAAGGTCAGCAAATTCTGCCCATAATAAAAATTTCTTGGGCTAGCCTAACTAGTCGTCTAGATTGATTGATGAGATGATTAGTCATGATTAGTTGTGCATTAATTGGATGACTAGTTTTGTAGTCAAGTTAATTGTATTCAGGGGTCTTATGGAGTCCCATGTTGCGATAAAGATGACTAATCATGACTAACCACAAGTCATCGGACCTAATAACATTGCCTCAAATGATTGCTGAAGAAAAAGACACAATGAGTGTTTCAAGCTTAGGGCTAGAAAGATCTGAACTAATTGCTGAGTGTTGATATTTCTCATGTCTAGTATGCATGGATGAACATGCAACAACATTTGTATGCATCTGATCACAGCAGGAGCACATTTTGAGATTGGTAGGTGTATAAAAGGGTTTTTAGTTGAGACCACTAGTGTTCCAACTTTATACAATGTCAAGATTAACATTGTTGAGACAGAAATTTGAGATGTTGGAGGAAACCGAGAAGAATGTGGGGAATTCCTCAGAAAATTTTGCGTTGTTTGGTTCTCCATATGTATACTGTCATGAGTTCTGCCATCATTGACCTGTGGAGAAGCAAAGCCTTTCGAAACGGATTTGTGTTTTGCCACTGATATAAAATGGAAGTCCTTGGAGGTCATTGCTGAGCAGATTCGTGATGGTAGCACTACTCTTTTTTTCAACTTGATTCGTAGTTTGAGTTGTCTACACTATTGTTGAGCATGTTCATGATGGTAGCACTAGTCATGTCTTCTTGATTCATAGTTTTAGTTTTGCTTGATTTTAGTTTCCTGGTTTTAATGTAAAAGTACCCATTCTTTCTATAGGCTTAACACAAAACTTGAACTCAATCTCAACAACCAATGAAGTGTTGGTGTTCAGGAAAGATAAATAATAAGTTCTGTATTTTACATTTACAAACTAAATGAGTTGTTGGGACGATATTAAATACTCCCTCCGTACCATAATAAATATGTTTTTGAAAATTTTAAGAAGATTAAGGATGTTGGCAAATGACGCATGTATCCTCGTCTCCTTTCCCTTCCCGAAGGGTATCTCGTGGATTTGACAGTTATCGTTGGCATGCGCCATGATTAGCTTCCACATTAAGAGACAATGTTCCACATTT